TTGAGTAGCAATGGAAAACGTACAGAGTAGCATTCTGTTGCATGTGGTGATTTTCTTTGTTTTTTGTTTTGTTTTCTACAATTAATAAGGTGAAACTGGGGAATGATGACACCACCTCTGTCTCAGCTCATTGTTGGGAGACTGCAAAAGCACAAACTACAGCCAGTGGGATGGCAGGAGTGTGGCTGATGGAAAAAACAGCAAGGACAATGTTAAATAGGATAACTGTTTTTCATTTCTTGTTTTCTTCACATGTTCCACCCCTTGTTGAAGGGAAGACACAAGATGGACTGTCAAACAGTATAACAGACTGTTCTTTTGGGGCCTTCATTTATTTTCTTCCCTTATTGTGGACATTGTTTTAATATGTGATTAGCTCATGTTTAACATATGTATCACACAAGCTCAAACTGTCCTCCAACAAATGACTTTCTCTGGGACTGTGGTTACATAGTACATTACAAGGTACACACGCACACATACATTAACATACACACGTCCTGTCAAAAGATGACTATCAGTGGTGCTGTGGTTACTAGAAAACAAGCTTAAAACAAGATGGACTGTTACACAGGATAGCAGACTATTCTTTTGGGCCCTTTATTAATTTTATTTAATTGTTTTGGAAGTTCTTTCAAGTGAGTGATTAGCTCATGTTTAAAGTTGAATAGCTGATGACCAAATAAGTAAATAAACAGTAAATACGACATTGGTTTTGAGATGCTATTTGTTATGTTACACACACACACACACACACACACACACACACACATATATATATATATATATATATATATATATATATATATATATATATATACACATATTTAGCCACATCCCTAGTGATGACCTGTATTTTAAGTGTGCAACACCAGCCTCCCAAACTGATGTTTTAGCCTAAACAAATCTACCAAATCCACTAACATGAATCCTAGATTGGAATAAAGATGTAATTGTCTAGTGCATGGCTGGTATCTGCCAACAAAAAAGGAATCCATAAGTAGACTTGTACGTTTAATATTGCTGCTCACTAAGCTTAGTCTAACACAGATATATAACACTGATAATGTATGGGTTTTATATATATGGTTTTATATGTGTGAGAATATATAACATATGTTACCACATATACATGGATATGAAAACACATATATGGAGATATGTATAATGATGTCTAGTATTAAATATAAAATGAAATATATTACAATACATAAGTAAATATATATTTTATATATTATACTTCCATATATACAATATATGAAACGTGGCAATTCCTTATGTATTATTCAATATATTGTATAAAATACATATTTATTACTACATAACACAATATATTAGTCTGTATATTTTCAATACTTTTTTAATATAAATATCTGTTTTTTCCAGTTAATTATTAATCGGTACCACATATTATAGCCAGGAGGAATATTAAATTTGTTGAATCTTTTTAATTAGTCAGTAAATCAGATAACACCAAATAATTAAATATATTGATAGTTAATATATAGGGAAATATATTTTCTTTGCATAAGGGAATCGAAAGACCCATGGATAATCGCATCATCCACGCAGCACTGCACTCCATGTGTAATAAAAGCGTTAAGTCGTCTGCTCTCCTCATGTAGTTGCACTTGGTAGTATGCATATTTAAGATCATGAGTGGAAAACACTACTGATCCATGTAACTTAGAAAGCATGCCATCAATCAAAAGTAGATATATAATAATTAATTCAAATTTACAAATGTGTAAAAATATTTTTAATATATAGAAAAAAACATAATGTGTAAAAAAGCTGAAATGTTGTGAATGTGTGAATCAGTGCTACTCAAATGATTTATATTGTGCCAGACCGTAAAATCACATTAAAAGTTTGAGGTTCCAAGTGTGGCAGTGGGAGTTTTTCGGTGTGGTAGTACTAATCCGCGAACACGTCTCCATTTGTGTTTGTGTGAAGCTCTTTTTGCAACTGCGGATTTTTGACCCTGTTTTGCCTGCCAATTGATGGACCAATAGAAAAGCTTTAACTGGTACAATCAGAAAGCGAGTTTGATTTATTCAATTACAACCTTGATTGGTTGCTGTCACTCAAAGCTTTGGAAAGCTGTTGGTACCCGCCTCTAACGGCGCTTCGACCTAGGGCATCGATGCAGTGCCAGGTGAGTCGATAATGTTAGTCAATATTTTTTTTGGAGAAGGTTAAATACATTTTAAAGAAGATATAACATGCAGGCTTTTGATAATAGCTGATTGCAGTGATGGCAAACCGAGGCTTTCTGAAGCGCTGAAGCTGTCCTCCTAACTGTATCGTAAAAAAGGTTAATTACTGGAAGCTTCATGACACAGTGCACATTAGTGGCATCTGGTGGCCAAAACCACAAAGTGCTTCGTGTATCTGGTGGACAAGGGATCTTATTATTTTATTTATTTATTTATTTTTTTACAGATTTTAAAACTGTGTTCCAGTGTATTAAAAACATGACCTTTATTGTTTCAATAAAACAACTGATAAAATTAAATTGTTTGTTGTGCATGTCTTCAAAATCTTATTGCTGTGTTGGGTACAAATATCCAGTGTTGAAATGAATGCTTAGAAAAAGTAGTGATGGCTGAATAATGGAATGTATTCTATTACAATGCATTAAACAGTAAAGTATTCTGAATTAATTTAGAATACACCCAGAACACATCTTGATAAGGCACATTGGAAAAACGATTCTGTTGTAATTATTATTACATTCACACTGTTGCTGGTTGGCACTTAATGTTGTTATTATTCTGTTAATATATCTACAATTATAAAGTTCTACATCAACTCCCGAGCATAGCAGGGTTTTGCCTTCTCTTGATTATTATAGTAGTTTTCTTATAAAATACCTTATTTGATGGCAAAACTTTAAAGTGGTCCCAAACTACAGAGCGCCCTCTTTTTCTCGCTGATTGCACTCTCTCCCTCTTTCTTTCTCTCTCTCTCTCTCTCTCTCTCTCCCTCTCTCTCTCTCTCTCTCTCTCTCTAGTTTCGGAAGTAAGTGGTAACATGATCATTGTATAACGAATCAAGCTGGACACAGTGGTCCGAAGCAACCGGTGTCGTTTTTGTGACACATGCCTCGAAGCTTCAGGTTCAAGGGTGACATAGTTGATTGTACTAACTTACATGTATTGTCAATTCGACTACCATGCTAGCTAGCTTTGGAGCCCTGTAACAAAGTGATTAACTAGCTAACCAGCCATCACCAAGGTATTTTAGCATAGCAATCAAAGTTCATCTCTTTTGTTGCGTTCCAGCATTTTTTTCCAGCATTTCCAATTCCCTTTTTTGTATCACTGCAGCACTGTTATCTGAGCACAGTGGCAAAATGCCAAGTGGAGTTTATACGTGTGTGGTCTCTGATTCTTTGGTTAACATGCAGGCTATAGAAACAAGACATAACTATAATGGAGCATTTGCTAAGCCTCAGTCAAACTCTGCAGTAGAGAAAACACTGCAAGACACCAGTTTGTTAGTTGACCAGAATACACAAAACTCAGTTCATGATAGAAAAAAAAACTTGTGCATTACCTCTCGTTTTCCATATAGTGAGCATGATCAGCATAACTTTGATATGCTGGCAGTTTCTAGCATTAAGCTGGTTGAGGGTTCTTAAGCATCATTTGGATAACTGTTACTGTATTCATGTAATGCTATTAGGGGTGCGAGGCTATTTTTGTGCTGAAAACCTTGTTCATGCTGAATGTTAACGCTGCCTAGGTAGGACTTATTTGAACGTATCTTTGTCTGATCTTCAGTTTAGCAGTATGTATTGATAAATGTTAGATAATAGAACAAAAAACAATGGACATTTGATTTTGCAATCACCTATTTCAGTACACCACTGACTTCAGTAACTCAAGACCTTTGTTTTTGCGACTACGGTACTGCATTTGCATTTCTGTTTATTTCAATTAGAAAAGGGATGACAAATGTTAATATGATGTCACATGTTAAAATATATTACTATTATCTATCAGCATTAAAGACCAGTTATCTGTATGTCCAAATTTGCTGACAGAGATCTAAGTGAGGAAGGAAAGGTTGTAATCTAGCAGATGTGGAATCTCCCAGGGTAAGCCCAGACAACTGCAGATGGCTCTTCAACACACTGTAATCATCTTCTATGGTCAAGGAGGTTTAAATATTGAGTTCTCATTCTAGCTGTGTTTTTTGTTAGTGTTGTAGTTTTGAAAGTTGTCTAGTTTAACTTGATTTTTTTGTTCACAGCGCTGGTTACTAATAGGAGGGGCAGGGTATTCTCTGGAGACATTTGTCAATCGTTCTCCTAAGAGTCCACTGCTGTACAAAGTTTCAGCTATTCCTGGCCCTGACAGCTCAGATAATTGTGCTGCAGTGATGTAAAAAAGGGAATCGGATAAAATGCTGGAATGAAACCAAAGAGATGAACTTTTTATGATGAACTTGCTATGCTAAAATACCTTGCTGATGGCTGGTTAGCTAGTTAATCACTTGGCTACAAGGCTCCGAAGCTAGCTAGCATGGCAGTCGAATTGAAAACACATATAAGTTAATACAATCAACTATTATCCAAAGCCTGAATGTTATGTTTACTTTATAACAGAATTTTGTCTGAAAATGTATTTAACCTTCTCAGAATTAACTAACATTATCGACTCACCTGGCACTGCATCGAAGCGCCATTAGAGGCGGGTACCAACAGTTTTCCAAAGCTGTGAGTGACAGCAAATAATCAGGGTTGTAATTAGATAAATCAAACTCGCTTTCTGATTGGACCAGTTAAAGCTTTTCTATTGGTCCATCAATTGGCCAGCAAAACGGTCAAAAATCCGCAGTTGTAAAAAGAGCTTCAGACAAACAGAAATGGAGACGTGTTCATACATTAGTACTACCACATTGAAAAACTCCCACTGCCACACTTAGAACTTCAAACATTTAATGTGATTTTATTGTCTGGCACAAAATAAACCATTTGAGTAGTACTGATTCACAAATTCACAACATTTTGTTTACAAATGCCAAACTTTTTTCCACTTTCAACAATTCTTTCTACATATTAAAAATATTTTCATGCATTTGTGAATCTGAATTATTATTATTTTTTGGTTTCATATTTGCATACACAACTGCAAATTTCAGTACATTTGTGAATATTGTTTTACAAGCTCAAAATCTTTTTGACCTTTTTTTGACTCACTGCAAGTTATTAGGCTGATCACCAGCAACACCAGCATATGCTATGTTTTGAATGTGGATATGCTGGTCATATGGATAGTGTTTCTGTAGAATATCTTTCTGTTTGGGTCTCTGGGCTTCTTAAGGGTTGGCTTATGATTCCTCTGATTGTCTCCATCCATCTAATCGCTCGTTGTCCTGATATTGCAGAGAGAGACGTGGCCCTGGGTCAACAGGGGAGGTGCTTAAATTGAATTTGTTCAACCAATCACAAAGTTCATACTATGCCATCATCACAGTGACCAGGTCTTTCTTTTTTTCTATTTTTAACCACAATGGAGGAGTGAAGCTCCAGTGAATCTGCATCTCCTGGTGAAGGTAAGAGATTTTTTTTTAGAAGTTCCTTGTTTTACATCATCCATGCTTAATAATATAGTCCTGGTTTTACAGTTAAATATTTGCTGTAGGTAGCCTAGTTTGGTTAGTTAGTGTCTGATAGCTATTGCAATGCTAGGTAGATAACCTATCTGGCTAGCCTAATGGTAAGCCTGAGTACTCATTTAATGCCCTTTTTTCACTGTTAAAATTTAGCTTGCACAATTTCTTCAATTCCATTTCCATCCAACATTTTTTCATACATTTAAACTAACAAAGTTATTTAACTGATGATTTATTAGATGATGGGCAGTGGCCGGATGAAAATGAGGTAACTGTGTGTATATAGTGTATACATTTATGTATATAAACAGGGCTGGATTGGGACTTGTTTTACATGAGTTACATGATGCAAATCAGCCCGCCCCAAGTGGGGGGGCTATTTTAACCCCTAAATTATTACAGATGAATACATGGATGTAACTTTTGTAGTTTGTCTTAACGTTCTTGTGCTTACATGTTTGAATTTATTCATTAGCTCATAGTAACTGGCCCACTAGGAATTCTCCCCCACTTTCCAGATAGTAGAGGGACAAAGGCCCTTAAAAGTTGATAGAAGTCTCCCAAAGGTAGAACAAAGCACAAACATGTTTGTATATAACTTTGATATCTTTAGTTTGTTAAATGGATGTATAAAATATCTTAATGTGAATGTTTATTAGGCCTTAATAGGCATTATTAAAAGTTTATTAAGCCTGCAGCACCCGCCAGCCAGCTAGGTGCAGGTGCATGAGGGCTTGTGTGACAGGCTCCAGCAGTCGTCATCAGGGCCCAGGGGACAGGCACACGCCACACTCATGCAAAAAAAAAAATAATAATAACATCACTATTAATAATAATAACAAACTTCTCCCTGATCACACATTCTGTCTTATTAATAATCTATTGTTTATTATTCAGAAACTATTCTGTTGTTTTACTGATATTATGGAGGCTACATAAAAGTATGTATTGTCAGTAAATTGATGCAATAATTAAGTTATAGTTTCTCTCATGACAATCAAAGAAAATGTCTTAATCAGTCCGATCACAGCAAAGTTCAGTAGGTTTTTCATTGGATCATATATGAACAGTCCTAGACCAAAGCCTGTTAGATGGTTGTCCATATCTATGAAGCAGATGTGCTTAATTAAAGTCTGATCAGGCCAGAAGTGTAAGAGATTAGAAGTTAAATATATAAAGGCATCAGGTAAAGGGTTAATTTCTGTGACAAAGGTTAATATGTTGTTGAACATTTGTGAGCAAATTAAAGAAATTGCATTTATTAAAAAATCATTCAACAAAAAAAGCATCTGTCTAGGAGACCCACACTTAGCAATGGTCTCTGCTGTACCTCTGACTTTGCTATACCTCCAGATTGAGATCTGGGAAATCTTTTGGCCAGGGAAACACCTTGAAGTCTTCATCATGCTCCTCAAACTGTTGCCAAACGATGTGTGAGGTGTGGCAGAGTGCATTATCCTGCTGAAAGAGGCCACTGCCACCTGGGAGTACCATCACCATTAAGGGGTGAACCTGGTCCGCAACAATGTTTAGATATATAGCACCTGACATCAGGGTTTCCCAGCAGAACAATGCCCAGAGCATCACACTTCCTCCACACGGTATGTCCCAGTGCCATCACCTCACCAGATAGATAGGCTACACACAGCTACCTGGCTGTCCACGTGATGTAAAAGAAAATGAGTGTCATCAGAGATGGTGACCTATTTCATTATTGCATCCAGTTCTGATGTTCTCGTGTCCATTGTAGGAGGTTTTGATGGTGGACAGGGAGGGTTCAGCAGGGGCACTCTGTCTGGTCTATGCACTCTGTCCTCATATGCAGCAGGGTGAGATGAATGTGATGTGTGTTGTGGCACATTCCTTGAGTGACTATCATTAAAAAAATTTCGGTAACTTATTAGCCCTTCTGTCAGTTTGGACCAAACGGGATAGACTTTGTTGCCCTTGGGCATCGATGAGCCTTGTGCCTCCAACACCCTATCGCCAGTTTGCGGTTTGTCTCTCCTCAGGCCACTGTCAATAGCACCACACAAGCTTTGCCATTTCGGAAAAGCTCCAACCCAGTCATTTGGCCGTATTAATTTGGCCCTTGTCAAAATCACTCAGGTCTGCTGCCAGGCCATTTCTCACACATCCAACATCATGACTGTAAGAACTGACTGTTCGATTACCAACTAATATATACCAGACATTGACATGCACTATTGTTATAAGATAATCCACATTATTCACCTGATTTGTGAGTGATCATAATGTTAAATGGTTTAACCCGTGTGTGGTGATCAGGTCTGTGGGACCCATTTTCAATGTTTACCAAAAGAAAAATGATGTGATTTATTATTATTTCAACCTCAAACTTCTTTTAATTTTCTGTGAGGAACATATAAACGAATACATTTTCAATTACTTCACACTGTACACCCCCCCCTACGCATTTATATTACATGAGGTGTTTGAGTCCACTCGACCTGCAGGTAATAAAAAAGTGTGAAGGTGCTATGTCCCTTCACCCTGTCCACCTCCTATATGGCTTGCTGGTGAAACCTCAAATCCAGAGAACACAACACATTCCAAGAAGCCCAGCTTCTGCAGCCATCCTGAGCAGGATTCAGGAGGTGTCCCTTCAGCCTGACCCACAGAACAACCATCTGCAGAAACTGAAGTAATTTTGAGATGCTGTTGCACACTTTATGTCTGACTTTCTTACCATGGCCAACTATAATGTGTGTGTGTGTGTGTGTGTGTGTAAGAGAAAGAGAGAGAGAGAGAGAGAGAGAGAGAGAGAGAGAGAGAGAGAGAGAGAGAAAGACAGAGAGAGAAAGGAAGATGTGAGAAAAAAATCCTGATCAAAGTATTTTCATCATTCTAGGTTGTGGCCAGTAGCAACAAAAAGAAAGAGCTGTGAAGTGTGTGGACCCAAGATGGACAGAAGGACAGGTAAATATTAACCATATATGCTGTCTTTATTGCTTGTAATTGGGATAAAGTAAACCTCTGGTATTTTCACATAAATGGTTATGGCTGCATTGATTTAAAAACCTAATAACGCTGTGTGTCCACCAGACCCGCAAACATTGGCTGAGTAGCAAAAATATGAAGACCACACAAGGGTTAACACTTTTACAAATTAAATGACAGATATATAATGACTACAAAAAAAGAAACAGCTGTGCTGTTGTTTCATGCTGAAATAATTTTCTTATTGGCATATCACATTTAGATTTTCGTATTTCCTTATTTTATTATTTTTTAATCAGTATATATTAAATGATAAAGAACTATTATTTTATATTCTAAATCTCTGTATTGAGTATTTATATTGATCTAGATTTTGTGTCTGTCATTTCAACTAATACAGCCCTATGGTATTTTTCTGGGTCAGTCCAGGTTTGCTTTGAGAAGGAATTAAGGGCTGGTAATGTGTGAGGATGAAATGTATAATCCAAAATCTTTAAATATTAATTTGTTGTTATGATCAGAAAATAAGGCCTAGTACAAAATAATAACATGTTTTGGTGTCTGGAATCATTATTATGTGAACAGCACAAAAAAATGCATTACAGGTTTGATATAGAATTTTTAAGTCAAAAATGTCTATGGAATATGTATGTTTAAGGACCTGAATTTAAAAAACGGACAAAGATATTGATATTATCTTTTCTTTGTGACATAGAGTACATGTTGTGCATGGTCAATCTAAAGTTGGCCATATTCTGATTTTAACTCCCTGAAATATAAAGGATGCAGACAGTCTTCCTTTAAGCCAGGCCTGAATTTGCACATTTTCTCATTTTGAGGAGCGTCCAAATATAAATGAATTACACAACTTTTGTATTATATATTTTTATACAACTATCCATTTCACAAACAAGAGATATCAAAGTTATATACAAACATGTTTGTGCTTTGTTCTACCTGGGGGAGAGTTCTATCAACTTTTAGGGACCTTTGTCCCTCTACTATTGGGAAAGTGGGGGAGAATTCCTAGTGGGCTGGTTACTGTGAGCAAATGAATAAACTCACACACATAAGCACAAGAATGTTAAGACAAACTACAAAAGTTACATCCCAGTGTTCATCTGTAGTAATTTAGGGGTTAAAATAGACCCCACCTCAAGTGTTTCTGTTCCAAAACTACATAAATCTACTTTTCTACAGCTGTGATTATTAAATGTACTGCTATGACCTTAATTGATGTAGGAGTTAGATTCAGATGCCTAGTATGTAACTGCTGCACTATTAATGTGGAACAGAAATTCGAGGAAGAGTTCATTACTTCTTTTCCATTACTGATGTAGCAGTTTTTAGACGTCACTCACGTGAAGATGGACAATAGAGGCAAGAACTGCAAAAAACTAAATGTGGCAGCGGGAATGAAAAAGAAGAATGAAACCTGAATGAAACTGACCTTATCGTACTTACAACATTAGTTTATAGCTTATTGACTGTCATGAGTCACTAGCCACTGTGGATATCTCAGTGTAGCATATAAATAATAAATTAGAGAAAAAAAATGAACAACAGAAAAATGTGCAGATTTTAGAAGAATGTAATTTTTACAAAGGTAATGCTGTGTATGTGTGTTTGTGTGTGAGTAGCAACAGAAACAATTTGGGGTGGGCTGATTTGCATCATGTAACTCGGTTTGGCCATATATATATATATATATATATATATATATACATATATATAGCCCTGCGATGGACTGGCGACCCGTCCAGGGTGTATCCTGCCTTCCGCCCAATGACAGCTGGGATAGGCTCCAGCACCCCACCGCAACCCAGAAGGATAAGCGGTTTAGATGATGATGGATGGATGGATGGATGGATATATATATATATATATATATATATATATATATATATATATATATATATATATATACATGTGTGTGTGTAGTTGCAATTTAAATTCTACAACCCCCGTTGCAAATTAGGTTTATTAGCAAAATTTACACACTTTCAGCTGATTAAATTGTTTAAAAAAGAACAATTTAAATAGCTCAACACAACTGATATAACAAGTTGTTTCTCCACAAAATGTCAGTTTTAATGACTGCAGTCAGAATTATTCAAACCCTCGAATAGAATCCCTCATAAGAGCACACATTTGCAAATCTGGTGTTGTCTCAAGCACACCTATTGCAACTAATCAAGGGCTTCATTAGTTGCATCAGGTGTGCTTGAGATAAAACATGTCAAATACGCATGCACTGAAGTTTCAGTTTGCACCGTAAGGTGCATACTACACGCTGAAGGTCTCCATGCCCAAATTCCTAGATACACCTCTACTGATCCAAAAGCACAAGAAAAATGGGCTCCAATAACCATACAAATAAGCCACAGATGTTTTGGGATTCTTTTCTGTGGATCGATGAAACAAAACTGGAACTTTTCAGGCCTATGGTTCAGCAGTATCTCTGGAGGAGGAAGAATTAAGAATACACTGAAAAGTACATTCTGGTGAAGCATAGTGGTGACTCAATGATGCTCTGGGGCTGCTTTGCTTCCTCTGGCACTGGAAACCTGCAGCGTGTGGAGATGCAAGAAAGCTGAAAGATGGATTCGATAAAGTATCAGGAAATCCTAGGAGAAAATGTCATGCCCTCTGTGAGGAAGTTGAAGCTTGGGCATCATTGGCTCTTCAAACTGAACAATGATCTGAAGCATACTTCAAAATCCACTAAAGTTTGTTTCTGAAGAAGTCCTGTAAGACTCTGGAGTGGCCGTCACAGTCGCCTGACTTGAACTCCATACAAAATCTTTGGTGGTATTTGAAGAAGGCAGTTGCAGCACCCAAACCCAAGAATATTAGTGAACTGGAGGCCATTGCCCATGAGGAATGGGCTAAGATTCCTCAGGAATGCTGCCAGAAGTTGGTGTCTGGCTATGCATCACGTCTGCAGCAGGTCATAACAGCAAAAGGTGCTCTACTAAGTATTAAAGACACTTGTCATGAATGGGTTGAATAATTCTGAGACTGCAGTAGTTATTAAAACTGGTATTTTGTGTTGAATTTGGAGAGACCACTTGTTATATTGTTGTGTTGAGCTATTTAAATCGTTCTTGTTTGATTTGTTTATTGCAAACAGATGAAAGTTTGTAAATTTTGTTAATAAACATACATTGCAATGAGAGTGGAAAAATTTCGATTGCAACTGTGTATATGCACAATTACCTCAATTTAATGTCTAGTATAATATCATCCATCCACTGCCCATCATCTAATAAGGCCAACAGTGAGTGAGGGTGCATCAAAAGCCTTATATAAAATACATTTTATAAATGTTAGATGAGGCATGCTTTAGCATCAATGCACATTCAGTTTAGAATACAATAATCATTTTAATGTGCACATACTTTTTTCCCTTTCTCCTTAGAAGAATGTTGTCTCTGCAAACAAAAAGGTGACATTTCCCATTATGAGCCACCACGATTACTCAGATCACAGAGTGCTGGCTTTTTAACAGTTCCCAAAATTCAGAAGGTTTCAGCTGGGGGAAGAGCCTTTTCTTATAAAGCCCCCAAACTCTGGAATGATCTTCCAGAAAATGTTCGGGACTCAGACTCAGTCGCAATCTTCAAATCTAGGCTGAAAACTCACTTGTTTAGTTTAGCTTTTGGTAGTTAATGTTCCCCCTTAGATAAAGGCAGCAGATCCAGGGGTCCATGGACGCAGGGAATTATAGTAAACTGAGACGCTGGTGCTGTTGTCCCACCGCTCGCACGCGATCACTCAGGTTTGTGGACGGTGGAGTGGAGGGATGCCAGATTGTTTCAGGGTGCTCCCGTGTCTGTGTGCCCTTTTGGTTCTCTCCTTTTAGTTAAGCTGTTATAGTCAGATTTACCGGAGTCATTAGCCACACTCTGGAAATGTTCACGTTCTCTGTTTTACATACACTCAAACGAAATAAAACTAATTCCATCTCCCTTCCTTTTTCCGAGTAAACGACTGCCCACCTGCCGGACGGACACTGATGGATGATTGTCTGTGGAGCTCTCCTGCTATCCGCTTCAGACCAGTTGCCCACGCCCCAGTCGCCGCCACTTGCCCAGCTACCGCCACTTGACTTGGACTAGCTGCACACTCCCATTCTACACTGAAGTTTTTCATGGACTCCTAACTACTACTACTACTACTACTACTATTAATATCAGGAGTATAATAATTTTGTAGGTAGTTTGACCAGAGGAGGATGGGTCCCCCCATGTGAGCCTTGGTTCCTCCCAAGGTTTCTTCCTCAGCTCTGAGGGAGTTTTTCCTTGCCACTGTCGCCCCTGGCTTGCTCACTTGGAGGATTTACATTTCATGTTAAAACTTTGTCTTTAATGGATTTCTGTGAAGCTGCTTTGTGACAACATCAGTTGTAAAAAGCGCTATACAAATAAATTTGATTTGATTTGATTTGATTTGACAGAATTAGGCCAACAAGGTTAGGTGAAATTTGCCAATACCCATACAAGATTATATTTTGTATTTACTGTACTTCATGTTATTCCCAGTTTTGTTCAAGGTCAGCTTTATTTACAAAATCCAGTACTGTATCTTTACTGCTTTACTGATTAATTGTTACTTTAAGTGTATGAAAAAATGTTCGATGGAAATGATATTGAAGAAATTGTTCCAAGCTAAATTTTAACAGTGAAAAAAGGGCATTAAATGAGTACTCAGGCTTACCATTAGACAAGCCAGATAGCTTATCTACCTAGCACTGCAATAGCTATTATATATTAACTAACCAAACCAAGGCCACCTACAGGAAATATTAAATTGTGCAAGTACAACCAGGACTATATTATTAAGCATGGATGATGTAAAACAAGGAACTTCTAAAAGAAATCTCTTACCTTCACCAGGAGATGCAGATTCGCTGGAGCGTCACTCCATTAAAAATACAAAAAAAGAAAGACCATGTTGCCCATCATCTAATAAGGCCAACAGTGAGTGAGGGTGCATCAAAAGCCTTATATAAAATACATTTTATAACTGTTAGATGAGGCATGCTTTAGCATCAATGCACATTCAATTTAGAATACAATAATCATTTTAATGTGCACATACCTTTTTCCCTTTCTCCTTAGAAGAAAACTAATAATAGTACTAATAGAACTAATTGTAAAGTGAACTTTACAATTAGTGGTGAAGATGTAGAAGTGAAAGTGAAAGTTTTTGCCTACTTGGATCAATTATTAACAACAAAGCATCTAGTAAGTAGACAAAAACTGTTTTCACTTTCACTTCTACATCTTCACCACTAATTGTAAAGTTCACTTTCTTTCTCATTATCATAACATTTTTCTTCAAATATCCTTTCACAACACGTGACAATACTGTTTCGTAGTTAATAAGTAACTGATCAGGAACTAAGCAGGAACGAATGAGTAGTGCTGCATCAACACTTAAGTAACTACTCTTAACTACCAAGGACTACTAGTTAACTACTCAGTAGGTAATAGTGAACTAATGATTAGGGTAGTTTACTATTAACTAAACAATAACTACTGAGTCTCATAGAGAATTACTTAGTAACTATGGTTTCTTAGAATAACTACTCATAAATTACTGATCAATTCAACATTAACTGCTCAATAGCTGAGTCTGATAAGGCTCCTGCTGAACTATTAATTGATGTAGTGTATTCCAACACTTCTAACAGTAGTGAAATACACAACAGCATGCAGTCTCTAAAATATAATGGATTATATTCTCCATTTCTAATCACAGATACAGGTATCCTCAGAGAAGTCTGGGAGCATCACACCACACTGTGCTGACTGGTGTCTCTCATGTGTTTGTTTTGATCGAAACCTTAAAAGGCTAATGCACATCTTCATATTTGGCAGTGTGAATCAATATGCACATTAGCGTACAAATGGGAAAACTGCTAAAATACTACAGTATTCAGTAGACCAGTCTGGCTTTCCACTCTGGCAACTAGGTTCAGATTCTTGCATAGATAGTAATGTGAGTGTTTTTGGCTGCCTTTGGAAAAACACAACTCTATGTTTGGTTTTATCTGAAACATGATTACACTGTCTCACTTGATAAGAGTGATTTCAATATGTTGTAAATTAATTTGACTGATGTTCATGTTACCCTTTCTCCTTACGAGCTCTTGCCTTAGAAAATGTTTGTGCACGAGCCTGTTCATCATTCAGTAAAGTGACTGTCATGCCTTGTGAAAGCAAACAACAAATACACTATACTGAGTTTTTACATCACTTTATGCTGTATTTTTTCAATGTAATCATTTTACAAGATTTCTGGCATTGCTGTCAACAAAAACAGAAAATGTTTGTTTCAAATCCCACAAAAATAAATTAATCTCCTTGTGATCAAACCAACGTACTGTGATGACTTGGCTGAATAGCTGTGTAATTATATGGTTATATACTCCTCTGGGCATTCACTTTCTGAGGCCTCTTTTGGTTCTCTTTGACCTACAAAAAAGAAAATGCATTTTACATCTCTGTTTACTATAAAGAGGAACATTATGCTGTGTTTCTGTGAAACACTTAAAGCAGAAAAATACAAAGAGAAGAATAAGAATCAGAAACTCAACCCACATGATGATTTTCAGGACAAAATTAAACCTATGCATAAGCCAAAGAAATGTATAATAAATCAGTCACTCTTGGACTTGTACTGTGTTTACTATTAAATAACCTTCATAGTGGAGGGTCAATAATTATGGCCCCTTCAGTCATCTTTCTTGAATTCTATAATCCATTGCCCAACATGTGACTGTATACATACAGTGCGACAGTATATATGGCAGTTCCAACCCTTTTTCCATTGGATATTGTTTAGCACTCACTTAAAATGTCAATGCCAAACTCAAAAAAGAAAAAAAATCACATTTGAGGCTTGTCATATGAGGTTACTGGCTACTAACACTCAGGTTCCTAACAAGTGCATGGTTAGAAATTTGTTTGGTGGGATGCCTCTCGTTAATTAGGCCACTCACAAATTTCTACACCTTGGGCAGTTCAGAGTACATGTTATGAAAGCCACAAAAAAGAGAATTATTTTAAATGAATGTATTGACAGTTCGAGGTGGGTAGGGTAACTCATACTCAGATAAAAGTATAGTTACTTCACTGAAATAATGTCTGGAGTCAAAGTACTACTGTTACATGTAAGCACGTATTTGGAGTTTTGTGTCTGTCCCTCTCCCCTCACAGGTGTACCAGCATTGCCATCAGTCAGGTGATGAGGACCACTGACCAATCAAAAGCCAAAAGCACACCTATACATTCTCACCGTGTAGATGTCTACTCTATCTAGTTCCTGAGGTCAGAAGGTGGGCACTGCCACATGTACTTTTGATTACTGGCCATGGAATTATAGAGTAGTTAGCCTTTGTTTTCTTTTTTTAGGTTAGCTAAGCACTTTTGTTTCAGAGTAGGAAAGCGTGGTTAGGTCTTGTGTTGTTCTTTTCTTTAGTGCCATCCACAGTTTGACTCTTGCAGTGTGGTACTAGGTATCATTGCACACCATTTTGTTGTGGTTGGTTTTAATAAAATGGCTTCAAAAGCTCTCTTGGCCTGTTCCTCTAGCTTTTAAACCATTACCAGTTCAGTCATTTAATGCCACATGTTACTGATCCCACAGTGCCTGAGATAAAAACATAGGGTCATAACAAGTACACACAACCTAAGTAGAAGTGTAAATGTAAGCACTGAGTAACTTATTAAGGCTACATTCAGACTACAGGTAAAAGTGGCCCAAATCAGATTTACTACCCAAATCTGGTCATTCGCATTATTTATCTTAAGATTAATGGACTCCTTTCACATGACATCAAAACGAGCTGAATAAATATCTACTTTAAACTTTAAAGGACAAGCACTAGACAAGCACTAGACACTAAAACATCTATGTTTATTAAAAAAAATGGTGAATTTCTATGGCTGTTTTTACTTTGGAAGCTGACCAAACACAGAGAGCATAGACCTTCATAGACCTTGTTAAGCTCTTTAGCCCTATGGAGTAGTTAATTCGTGTGGCTAATATGAGGAAATTGCAATGTTATTCAAGCTGTGCAATGAATTTAAGGTTGTAGGAAGTACACTTGTGTGAGTTTAAGTCTGAAGTGGGATTATTTTATCATGTGTAGATTTAAATGTGATGTTATCATTCTAGATGGGTGATTTCTTTCAGTGGGCTGTCTAGCTATATGTGTTTTTATCAAGTTTATACTTGACCTAAATAAAGAGGATGAACACCAGTTTTCATCCTCAGACATTGTCTCTCTCTACCAGACCTCCCCAGTTTAACCAAAGGTGGTGGCAACAACTTTTAAGTCTTGAACCAAGTAAACGGCTGCACTTAGCTGAGATTGTGAATTTCTTGATTTTTGCTTTGGAGGGTGTCAAATATGTCTGAGGAGCACAACACATGTGTTCAGGCTGATATTAGGCCTGTTTTAGAGACTCCTGTGCGGCATCCAGTTTTTATGCCAGAGGTTTTTATGAGTTAAGGTCATGAGTGGACTAACTGACTAGAACAGTTTGAGGCAGGAGTAGAAATAAATGGTTGGGGTGAGTGTGAGAAATTAAAGTTTATGACTTTGCTTTTATCACATAAGGCATGTCAAATTTATTGTGGTCTCCTGTGCAACTTTTGTGGGACCAAAGTCAGCAATGAGGAGCTATTTGACTAAGGCTGGAAGCTCAGAATGGAATAAGACTGACTTTTCAAATAGACAGTATAAAGAATTAGTGTATGATTTTGGGAATTCAGTGCACAGGTTAACTGAGGAGGCATATTCAAATTTGGATGTGATTACATAGGATAAATTAGCGTTACATAAGTTTATTATGCATGTTGGGGATGGGGATCTTCGCAGTGCTGTGTAGTGCAAACCATCTAATTTGGAAGGGGCAATTAATTTAGCAGTGGAGTTGGAGCATATTAGGAATTTTGAGAAGCAGGTGTGTGACTTTTGCCTGAGGTGTGGAGCTAGGTAAGGGGACACTGAATAGGAAGTCCAAGGAGCATGATATGATGGCAATGGTTCAGTCCTTAAAGGAGGAAGCTCAGGAGCTGAAATAGGCTATTGGTCATCCTCATACTACTTTAGGTGGCCCATTAGACAAAGTGATACTGCAAGGAGACCTAATTATAATGGAGAAGTAAGTCATAAGGGCTGATGAGGTAAACCCAGATGTGTTGGGAATGTGGGTGTGATTGACATGTGAGGTGTAACTACCCATTTTGGTCAGGAAACTAGAACGGGCAGCCAATAGGGGTCATTTGTCTGCCTGTGTTACTTTTAGTAAACAACCCAAAGTGGTAGTTCCAGTTGGTTAGTCAGGTAATTGTATTTATTTAGAAGGAGGAATAAATATCATGAAAATATCTCTTTTTTTTAGATACTGGCACCCAAGTTAGTTTAATAGATTTTAAAGTTTGGCAGTAGTGTGGCGCAAGGCTGGAAGAATTAGTCATGTTCAACCAGAATTTCTGCAGTTAATGGGGAACAGTTGAAAGTAGAAGGCCAGTGGCTAGGGGTCCGTAACTTTGGAGATTTGGTGGTGGATATTATTTTTTGGTTCTTCATGATCTTAGCTAGGCAGGCCTCCTTTCTTATGGATTTTATGAGAAATTATAAAAAGGAGAGGGATTCATCACAAAATAGGTGCAAGCTAATGGGCAAATAATTTCGCTTGATGTGCTTCTCTACAGGCGGGATGACGAGAAATGTGATAACTCAGAACAATGTTATATGTGCTGTATGGAGCTTCTAGTTTTAGAGAAAGTAGAAGAGTTGTTAGAGACTAAAATTGAGGGCTTAGTTGAGCTATCTGTTACACTGTCTGAAAGCTGCAATGTGTTGGTGGATTGGGTCCTTACTACTGTAAAAGATGGTATTTGAGGCTTATTAACCTTACAGTTGAACACCAGGTGTTGTGTAAGGGAACTAAGGTGGGTGAACTTTGTATGATGCTCTCATACTCTCTTAAGATGGTTCTTTATTAAAGAAAATTGTTCACTCAAAGAACCCTTTGCATGATTAAAGGGTTCTATGCATGGTTCTTTGGACTGATGGAGAATGTGCTGTGGATGATTCTATATAGCACCAAAAAAGTGCTATTGTTACCAGGTCAAGATTGTAACAAAAGCAGAACCCCTTTTGGTGCTATATAGAGCCCTTTTCAAAAAGGTTTTATATAGAACCATTTATAGCACACACTTCATCAATCTGAAGAATCTTTCAGGATGCAAAGAATCCTTAAATTGTGCAAGAGTTCTTTGAGTGGTCATGGTTCTATACAGAACCATTTTCTTTACTAAAGAACCCTTGAACACTCTTTTTAAGAGTGTAGTAATTAGAACCTCTTCTACAGATGTAGCTGATGAGCAGCAGAGGCAGGTATCCAATTTATTACAACAGTTGGGTGTGCCTAATAGGGGCCATACACAAACACAGTTCAGGGTTGTAGAAGAGCTACTCCACAAAAATCTTGCAGTTTTTAGTAGGGGCGACCATGATTTGGGCGAAACTACTATGTTTCATGACCGGATTGATAATGGCTTGGCTCAACCTATTCTTGTGTCCCCGGCATGTCCCAGTCCATCTTCAAGGTGAAGTTTCTTTGCATGTGGGGAAGATGACAAGGTATAACATCATTTCGATGTCTCAGAGGCCATGGGCAGCCCTGGTAGTGTTGGTCAGAAAAAAAGATGGTGGGCAGAGATTTTGTGTAGACTATAGGTGAAAAAAGGAAGACACGATTAAAGATGTTGATGCCATGGATAAATGATACTCTGGATGCCCTGGCTGCAGCCGAATGGATATTGGACTTGGTTACTGGCAAGTGCCAATCAATCCAAAACACAGAAAAAAGACTGTTTTTGTTACACGGCAGAGGTTATTCCATCTTCATGTTCTTCCATTCAGACTCTGTAACTCACCAACTACTTTTCAACATTTGATGTAATTCTTGACAGACTAGCATAGGGTCACTTGTTTAGTATACCTTGACGATATTATTTTTGGAAGGACTGTTGATTAACATCTTGCAGCTAGAGGAAGTGTTGCAGAAACTAATTTGAAAGTGAAACCTGCTAAGTGGCAATTGTTTGTAGATCAAATGCAGTTTCTCTGACATTTCTGTAGAAGGCGTGGCTATTGAAGGCAGAAGCAGTGCATGCATGGTCAGAGCCAGTCAACGAATGACAGATATGGAGTTGTGTTGGATTAGCTTCTTATTGTCACTGCTTTGTTCCAGAGTTTGCAGAACTGGCATGCCCACTGCACAAGTTGACAGAGAAAGTGGACTAAGGAGTGTCAAGCTGCTTTTCAGAAAGTGTAAAGAAAAGAAATTGTGAAGTTGGTGAATGCTCCTATTATCACTTTTCCAGGACAGACATTTGTTTTGGACATTGATGTGAGTGGGCATTGGGACTATCCTTTCCCACAAAGTTAATGGAC